TCCAAAAAAACGAACCTTTTCACACAAATTGGTAATGACCTGTCCCAATTTCACCCTCTTCAACAAAAACAGTACGTACAAATTTCATATCCTCTTTTTTCTATTCTTTTTTGGGTGGCGGGGGCTTATCTGGAAAAGATCCGAGTTTTCAACAACTTTGTGTGTAGTCTCATCTACGAAAATATACTACGATAGTTCGAATATCATACCAACTGAGATTGCCTTTGTAAAGCACATTTAGTTGAAGAACATCATAAACAGAAGATTAGGTTGAGTCTTTCGTTAAAACTAAATTGGTATGCAACTGAGCGTAATTCTCAACACTCCAACATCTTTAGTGTGATTCTCAATCGCACTTGAGCCATGAGTCTGTCTCGAAATTCCGTGAAATTATAGATCCCCTTTCACAGAATGTTGATGTCAAATGTTCCAACTCGGACGTTGTGGCTGAGAAGTGACCTTTAGATGAGACCAGATGGCACTGGTTCTATACTAAGTGAGAACAAGTCACAAGGAATGAGGTCATGTGGAAACTCACCAATGATCACTCTACTCCCAAAAAGCGACAAAGCTTTCAGACAAAGCCTTTTTCAACTTTAGGCGTGACAAAACCAATAACCACCTCAGGAGTAAGCAAACATCATTGCCAATAATTAGAAGCCATTTAAGGGTACATCCTAATGGGTTTCAATGAGTGGATTTATTGATCTGTCATCACCGTGCGTTGACTCGATATGCTTTGTATAGATATCTCCATCTAAAACACACGGTTGGATTCTTGCTAGCAGAGTGCTTTCTCCATTTCCATTCCTTGAAAAAAAACAAGGTTTGGGTCCTACTGGCAATCTGTTTTTGGCACCAGTGGTTTGTAACAGAGTGTTACTAGAATAAGGAAATATCGTGTATTTTCAGGCTAAATCTGGGTGGGTCACACTCTAAATGGTCCATCCATAATGTCGAAGTTAAATAGGGCTAATTTTTGCGGCTTCTGTTCTCCGAGCTACTTGACAAAATCGCGTCTTTCTATTCAGCTGATGTACAAATTGATTTCACCTAAAGAAAGAAATCTCTGTCGAAAAAAACCCAGTGATTTGAGACAAAAATCGAACTTGGCAAACGTACTTTAGCCAGGAAATAAGGTCATACACCTGTGGACTAATCACTTGATTTTTTGTCAAAATGACTGCTCTCGTTTTCAGTTCTACTAAAAAAATAAACACTGTTTCCCTCGCCTGCTAACTTCGTTTCACTGAGACTCCACTTCTAAACTGCACTGTGGTGACGTCCCTTCCGTTGATGGAGGGAACGAAATATGTTCAATCTACGTCAGCGAAAGATGATCCTTGTCACCTGAGATGCCCAAATTCGGCCAGTACCAAGTCTGCATTCATTTGAACAGGTGCGAAATAAACGCCCAGTGTTGATACCCTCCAAGGTGGGATAGCTTTTAAGAGTGTCATCCTCAGACGCTGGTTCGTTTTACCGACCAACTTGCATAAGAAAACGTAATTTGGACATAAATGTAACGAGATCGTGATGTGCCGCACTACTCATAAGGTTGCTGAAAACTCTGACGGCCCACAACCAGTTTCACCCTTCTTGGGGCTCATCAGGTAGGTGCATATCCCGAATTTCGGTTGACTGTATGTTCTCCTTTAAAACCAGTTTGTACGCGTTTGCCGAAACATGTTTTTGGAACTTGAGTTGGTGGTTACCGGAGAGTCAATGGAACCCTAGCTGAACCTCTCCTTCGGGGTATTCTTTCTCTGAAAAAGTTCTTTCTGGAAGTTTTCGTGTTAGAACCTAAATGAGCTGTGCACGAATAAATTATCCAACGCATTCGGGCGCGAAATTACAGGAAACTTCCAAGAAGCAAGGAGAAATAAAGGCCTCCAGTTACTGGATGAAACAGCAACCTTTCCATAAGCAAGAACGATCCGCCAACAAGAATTCGAGATATGCACATCTATCCCAATTTCCATCCAAAACTTTGGTTGATCAAGGAAACCCGCCCAGCGAAGGTTACTAAACAATACTTGGGGCTTCCGAATCCAGATGGTATGTAGGCGATTGTGCGTAAGAACTAGGGTAGCGCATTGTTCAGCTGTATGGTTCCTCGCTACACAGGTGTTAGACTAACAACACACTCAGTGTCTGGATCACATGACAATGAAACAAATAGATTTAGTACACGATTCCCATCGGAAATCGATAACTTTAAATCCAGCAGAGTTGCACACACACTTGGTAATAGACCTGCTTATGAGTGTGACAGCATTAGGCTAACTGAGAAATGGGCAAGGCAGGTGCATCAGAAAGCGAGCACTTTTGTGACGCAGGTATTGGCACTCCAGGCAAACGAAAAGTCCAAATGATCGGGTGGGATAGAAGTCAATCGATCTACGGCCTTATTTTAGAAAGTAGACACTACGTGATCGCTAATAGCTGAATCCGTGACATTAATTTGATCTCGTCTGTCAGATGAACCCAAGTTGACAGAGTTGTGATCATCAGTTCTGGCCAGCTATAAACCATTCACCATAGGTACGCTGGTTTCAGGTTCACCGGAGAGTAGGAGAGCATAGGAGATACCAGCAAGCACTGCAACCGGAGTCATGTTCGAGTTAAGGCACAATAAATAATAGACACTGTGTGACTGAATACAGCTCACGTTAAATTAGCGGAATGGCCGCTGAGTGGTTTTGGTAATGGATTCTAGTTTGTAGCGCTGTTGCAATCCCAGAGAGGGAGAGGGAGAGAACACTCGAAAGAATCCGAGTGTCTGCCCAAGTAATAATGAAGCGAAGAGGCAAATGATTCATGGTTCTCCCCAGCGGATGCCCGGCTTATTCTGCTTAGAGAAGAATACGTATACCATGCAGTGCTTGTCATAAGTGACAAAGATAAATGGCTTACTTCGATAAGTCATCGCTAACCATCGCTGTCCAGCCAGGACCGAATCGTAATCGAAGCTGTCTCTCCAAGTACGCCGGCGTACGTCTGCTGGAGACACTCCGGCATGCGGCTTCGTATATCAATTCGGCGAGTTCTTCTTGCCAGTCTGTGTCAAAATCGGTCGCCTTGATATCAACAAAAGCACACATCAACGCGATGACATCTTCAGCCGTTGCTAAGCCTGTGCCGATGAGCTTTGATGAATCCGTTGTCAGCGCCACTGCTGACCAATCAGAGCGCGCCATCCTTTCACTGCCCTGATTGGTTGACTGATCACGAACCGATACACATCCCTTATTCTCTACCCCAGTTTAGCTCCACAGCAAGCAATCATGGGGATGAAGTTCTCTCGCCTCAACTCTTGAACCCCCCCCCGTACCTTGGTGCATGCACGTGTATTGAGGTTGAATGGTAGGGGAAACGAAGGGTAGATCATCGAGTCCATTGAACATCCAGAAAATATTGTTCTGTGTATACTTGTGCCTAGAAGAATTATTGACCGCCAACCAGAACAGACAGTGATAGAGATTTTGATCAATTGAGAAAGTAAACCACTTTCATAGCTTTAAAATCGATTACTAGAGTGCAAAAGGTCACATATTTTGAGACGTATTTGACTCATACTTTGTCACCGAGGCCTACTTAAATGCGTGCGTAAAGGGTGGCATGTAGTTTCTTCTTATACGGTTGTTCCAGCAGCCATATTTTCATGAATATCGGCCATTTGGGGTATACTTTTGACTCCCCATCGATTGGGCGATTTAAACTCACTTCATCTTAGTCATCTACATAGACATTATTCATTACTGTACGACAGCCATGCTCCACTGTTTTCAATTTGAGCAAAGTTGGAAAGTACCCAATGATCCGTAAAAATCGAACATGGACAAGGGTTTTTAAAGATTTAGGACTAAGTTCCAACTAAGTTCTAAAAGTGACTGTGCTGAATGCTCACTCACGTTTTTCTTGAGTTACCAATGGATAAGTGAGTAGGATTCATCAGTCAATCGACCAATCGATCAGTTGAAATGTCTCAGAGTATACAGATCATGTCAGATTTTCAAGCAGACCGCCCTTAATCCGGTTAGACTTATTAGTGCCAGGTCACATTTGTAATGCACTACTCATAAGGTTGCTGAAAATTCATCGTCAGCAAACTTATGAGTAGTGCATCACAGATATACATGTATCGCGATATCTCGAATATCGTAGCGACTGAAACATGAGGCGGCCTGGTGCAGCACATTCAGTTGCCTGGAGACATCACAAACGAGAGATTCAGCTGGGGTCCAGGTGATTCTCTCGCGAAACCAAATCAGTTTGCAAATGAGTGTATTTCGCTAGTGTCAGGTTATCCCCACACTCCACCCTCTAAATTTAAAGCCTGGTGTGTCAATGAGCGTTTAAATACAGGGTGCTTCCAAGGTGACATTATCAAGAAGTCAGCATCATCTGGAAGTAAGATCGGCATTTCAGTGACGCGTCGCGATGACACGTTCAATCTTCACTGTAAAGTGAGGTGCAAGTGTGCTCTTCTGGTGAGTTGCACCAAACATATGGGTAGTGCCAGGTACCCTGTTTTATCAAGAGGAAATCAGATCAAGGTCTGCGGTGGATAGCCTCAAGGGGTGGAAGCTTATTGACCTGGATGTTGATATAAGTGTGCAAACACCCACTGTCTTCCTCCCATGTCGGTTGCGTGGACACGATCAAACGAGGGCACCACCTGAGCAAATGATCGTCCATTTACAGTATTCATGCGCCCGGTCTAGCATGGTCTTCCTCTTGAACGTTCCAGGGTTGTTCGGCAACCCGTCATCCACAAAACTCTCGATCCTCAAGGACACTTTAAAGCGATTCGCATCAGAAGTTTAAATTCTTGTCAAACTTGTTATTCTAGAGTATCGTGGACATCCGGAGTGGCTGCACACACTGTAGAATCGCCGGTGAATTTTGACAGAAAGACTTCATTTGCCACCATCTCATAGTCGCTGGGGATTTTGACCGGTTTTGTGAAACTAGACCCATAGCTCAGGTACAGTTGTATCCCATTTATCGCTTCCCAAACACCGTCTGGGAGTCCCAGGGGGACAAATTCAGCTCAATTACTGCTAGATAGATTGGGCGACATGTGATATACTATATGGAAGCTGTTTAATTCAAATCTCAGCGCGTATCATAATCCGACGACGTTTCGATTATCATGGGTAATATTTTTTCAACCTTTCTGCACTTAGGTGAGCACGAGTCAAGTGTTAGGTGATGCCTTCTGATTGGTGGGTTCCTGAGATTAGTTGCCTGCTGCACGCAACCAGCGTTTTTTTAAAGTTGCGTCCTGTAAGTGAAGCCAATCTATGCTGAAAGGCCGAGACGCACTGTGCAGCTGTTTCATCCTTATTGGGAATCATCAGAAGTGTACTTTTCGCAGAACTCCGAAGAGTCTCGAACCCGCGACTTCCTGGCTAGTAGTTTGAACACAAAACTGTTCGGCCTCGATCACCTGATCAGCAGTGTGATTACCTCGCACACTTAGACAGGATATAGCGCCGCTCATCCTTCAGTCACGACATCAACATCACAAGGTCACACGTGTAGACTGGCTCCTCGAGCAGCCACTTCTCACACAGAAGTTTCACTCATTGGGTGAAGTTCATTTTTCGCGGGTTCGGAGTTTCACGAGATGCTCACTGCTGATGAGTCCCAATAAGAATGAAACAGCTGTACAGTGCTTGTCGGCTTTTCAGCATAGATTGGCTTCATTCACAGGTTGAAATCTCCCCAAAAAAATCCCAAATCTCTTCACACTACTGTTATACCTGCTGTTTCGCCAATCTGTTTTGTCTGACTGCTGACCCGCTCCAGTGCCTAGTGCCGGAAAAAATACTCACAGAAGGGAACACAACAGCTATATTCCGAACAAGCGAGTGCGAGTGCGAAAGTACAACGGCCACAGGCTATATTATCGGAGGAACACTATCTGAACTTGGTCCAGTGCTGACCTTGTCTGACAAAGCTTGCCTGACCTTGATCCCAGCTGACTCGCGCTGTCTGAGCGGATAACGTTGAGATGCTGAACGTGAATGCCAATGATATGAAATTCGTATTTTTAGTTTTCATTGAAGAGGGTGAAATTAGGACATCTCATTAATAATGTGCATGAGAAGGTCCGTTTTCCGGTACTTTTGCCTCCAGACGAACCCACACAAGTAGCTGTCCACTTAAGATCGGTGTTTGCCACATTGGAGTTCATTCTGTATCTGGTAGACGTGCCAAAGAGATTCGATGGTTTAGAATTACTGTCCTAAACTCCATTCTAGACCGTTCTAGCCAACTTTCCTTTCGAAGACTAATTTCTTGCCGACACTGTTGGCAATTAAAAGTGTCATTTGGTGGCCATTGTTGCATAAACGTCGCTGACGGATCACTCCGTGGCTTTGCAAAACGTATTGCCGTCTCCTTGTCATGAACGAGAGTTGAAAGCGTCGGAAAGTTCATTAAAGGTTCCAGGTCCGAACGAAGAAACTTTTCGCACAAAATGGGCCTAGATGCGGATAATGAATTGTTTTCATCAAAAATAGGTCAATGTTGTGGGCGTACATTAGATCTGAGGTGGCATAAAGCGGTGGGGCTTAACGTTTCGCACATGCACTTTCTGCAATAGTAGCGGGACACCCATTGTTTTGATCAATAAAATGCACCAAACTAGCGGATAGGCAAATAAGCAAAGTAATTTCGAAACTTGAACGGCATTGGTTCAGCCGACTCAAAAAATCTTTCATTCCTCCTGTAGCCAGCCGAAAACAGTACCACAGTTTTCTCACTGACTGGAATCTGTTAAACGGAGTGGGCTCATTTACTACTCATAAGTAGTTTTGAATCGGTAAAGTGGCAATTTGGGACATACTGAGTGGACTGTAAAGTGTGAAGCAGGTCGAAGGTCAGCAGAACAGGTGATCAGAATGATAAACTGGCTTGGACCCAAAGTTGGTCTGTTAGTCGAGGAGAACAGAAGGGATCGAAATGCTGGCCATTCGAAAAACAGAACCCACATAAAAGATAGAGTTTACACAGAATTAATCGTTTTATCTGGGACCTAACCACTCACTGGCTCCCTCATTAGACACGTTTTATATGAGTTCTGTGTCACGTGTAATAACAATTGAGATTCGGGTCTGGAAGGAGGGCGCATTGATTGCGGCGGGTTAATACGGATTTTCAATAATTCGAGCCAAAATACTTTCCATTTCATTCCTCAAATAAATGGCCTCGCCTTTTTTCGGAGCCCAGCACTTGACACGTGAGGGTTCGTACTAGAAGCCAGGCATTTTCGGGAAACCAGACTGTACCAAGAATAAATTCAGTTTTTTTTATATAGGACATCCAGGAGACACTTGTTGTGGGAGATTGAGAACACATCAGTAGTATACAGTATTTCTGTCAGATTTGCTTGAGCGCTCACTGTTATAAAAAGTTGAGCTAAACCACTTGTTGTTATGGACCAACTGAATTATGGATATATTGATCTGTGATCCAGAGAAACTTTTGAGTGAAACGGCCTTCATCTTATCATCCTTCAGCATGCGCCTTGAGCCTGGCCACAGTCAAACTTCGAAATGCACAGCCTCCTTGCAATTGAAGGAAAATCACTGGAAGATTTCACGTACCTTGATAGATGTATCAGCTCTGACGGAATCGTGTCTCACGAAGTCACGATGGCCCGATTCACGTTTGCTAATTGGCATCAAAAAGGCATATTGCTAGGTTGCAGGCTACAGTAAGGGCTCTGTTGCTGTATGGCTGCGGGGCGTTGCCTCTGCGCTCAGACGATATGAGGCGTCGTCAGTTATTGAGCACCGATGCTTCGGAAGCGTTGCTGGTGTCGGATGACATCGGCGGACTAGTAACGAGGTGATTAGAAAACGGGTAATCGGTTATCGCGACCAACTGCGGTGGCTTGTCCACGTGCTACGTACACCGAAACACCGTCTATCGTTGTTCTTCATGATTCCCTTAGAATGTCCCAAACTATAACATGGAATTGATAGGATGGGATGAAAGGAGTTGAGATGAGTTTTGGTCCTGTAGTGGGGAAGAAATGGGGGCTGATTGACACAAGTGCTGTCAGTTTCTTTCCAGACTGTCTAATTGAGCGCTTGGAGATGAAGGCACCTCGCCTACTCTTCTTTCCTCTTTGTACTTCAAAACTTCAAGTATAATTAGATCAGGAAAAACTTTTTGGCTGTATGGCAGTGAAGTATCAATACTGCTGTGCTGTCTCTGATGATAATGATGTTGGTGGGGACGATCCTGATGACGATACTTCAAAGATATAGCGTTAAGCTTGCTCAAGATCATTAGTGGGCTCAAATGACGCAACGGCCTATGGATAATGCCAAACGATACGCCTGTCGATGGCCTGGCTTATGACAGTTCTGTGCTGAAAAAATATTGATTAGATTGACTATAATGAGACTGTAACTGTACACACACTAATATACTGCGTTATTCTTATTGATTTCCTATACCTTTAATCGGGGGCGAGGTTGCCCAAGTGCTTAAAGTGCGAATTTACTTACCGTAAGGTCCGTGGTTCGAACCCGACCTCTCAACTTCCCCTGTTTAGGCCTGGGCGACCTGGCAGTATCCCAGCCCTCATGCTTATTTGTGGTGGTATGGAAGCTAGGCACCAAAAGGGTGCTACAGCTGAACGATATTTCTAACCAAACTGAAGCATTCACATAAGGAAAACTACTCACTAGGTTGCTGAGAACTCTTCGACAGCCGCTTTTATGAAAATATACTGCCATACCTTAAATATCATACAAAATGAAAGTTGAGGTGGCCTTTGTGGAGCACACTCATTCGAATACTGTCAAAGACGAGAGAGATTCGGTTGAGTCTTCCGTGAAAACCAAAATGATATTCAAATGAGCGTACTTGTTCAAATATTCACACTTTCGGTAGGTCCGGAAAACGAAGTTTGAACATCCTGTCCTGCAAGCGGAAATGAGCATAAAGACATCAAAAAACAC